GTTCCTCATACTTTTCAGATATTAACCTGATATAATATTTCAGATATTAATGAGATATATAATTTGCCAATATTTTTTCCCATTTTGTGGAGCTTCTTTTCATTTTATTGTTCTCTTTGATGCACAGAAGCAGCCTGGATTCAGAACTTGAGAACCTGGACTTCAGGCTGATGTCGTGATGGGATGAGATCTCAGCTCGCCTGATACCTTTTCCTTCTCCTCTGGGAGCCCTGAGCTGCTATTTTACAAGTCTGACAACCTCACTGGAGAGATCTTGTCTATATAGCCAAGTATCCACATGGAAAAGGAGAGGGGCCCAGACAAGCCTGATCTTCTAGCCATCGCTGCCAAGGCACCATTCATATGAGCAAAGTCATCTTGGACCCTCCTTAAAAGCCCAGCAATCAGCTGAATACTGGAGAGTGACCTCAGTTCACGCCAGAAGACTTGTTCAGTCCAGTTCTGCCTGAACAAACAGGAGGAGCAAGAGCGGAAACGGCCCCATTTTGAAGTCTCTAGATGTAGAAAACTTGACATATTAAACAGAAAATTTCAAATTAGTACTGAAATTCATAATGTTGGCAGATTATTTTGCCTGTTTGGGGATAATATTCTAACGTATTTTTATCATAAACAAAATAAATTCTAGATGGGTTCAACCAGATATTTGAAAGTTATTTTAAAAAACCAAGATGTTAAAATTTATAAAATCTTAAAAAAATGAAATTTTCCAAGAGTGATGTGATAGAATAAATCAGGAAATAAAAGAATATTAAAATGTAGCATGTTTATATAAAAATACCCATAAGTATAGTATAAATAAGTAAATATTTTTAGCAATCATCAAAGAATATATATTTGTAGCAAATATCAAAGAAGAGTTATATATATGAGTATGTATACATATATGTATAATGTAGAAAGAGTTCATCAAAATTCATCACTCAAATAGATCAAGCAAAAATTTTCACTCCAATAGATCAAGAATTCATGAAAATAAGTAATTGACAAATTTTATGAAGTAGATATTTGTCTCAGACATTATGGGGTAAACAGAGAGCATAAAGACAATTAAGTAACTTTCCCTGACTTCAGGGAGGTTATACACCAATGAACATAGACAACTGACCAACATTTTTATTGCATCTCTTGAAATAACTATACAAATTTGAAAACTAACTAAATGTCTTAGTCCATTTCAGCTACTGTAACAGAATACCATAGGCTGGGTGGTAGACAACAAACATTTATTTCTCCCAGTTGTAGAAGCTGGGAAGACCAAGATCAAGGTGTGGAAACATTCAGTGTTTCATGAAGGCCTGTTTTCTAGTTCACAGACAGCCATCTTTTCACTGCATCCTAACATGGCATAAGGGGCAAGTGAGCTCTCTGGGGTCTTTTATAAGGATGCTAATCCCATTCATGACGACTGCACTTTCATGACTTAATCATTTCCTAAAGGCCCCACCTCCAAATACCACCACATTATAAAGGATTTAAGTCACAAACTGGGGAATGAGCAAAAGTAGAAAAATTATTTAAATTCTGACAAAACCAGATGTTTGATATTACAAGGTATGATCCAATAATACCCTGAATGTTTCAATTTTTAAAAATTAATTACAATAAAAGACACAGTGCCATTACTCCCCCTCAAAATACTCTCCCTAGCTTTGACTACATTTATCCCATCATTCTTGCCACTTTCTGAAGCAGTTCTGGAAGTCCTCTTTCATGAGAATCTTTAATTGCGCTGTCATGTCTGCCTCGATATCCTGAATTGATTGAAAACGTTACCTTTCACGGTCAATTTTGACTTTGGGAAAGCCACAGGTTGCACAGTGGCAGATCCAGTGGATAAGGTGGATGAGGACACACCGTGATGCTTTTATTTGACAGAAATTCCTGTACCAGGACTGATACATGACACGAATCTTTCCATTGTGATCAAAAACTACAGTGAATGCTGCTGCCAGGTGCCATCCAATTGAGAGGGAGGGAGGGTTCTTCAATACGGGAAGCGGTGCATTGAACCTTAGTAACAACAGTGTGTGACAAGTTTCAACTTATTTGGTGTAGTCAGTCAGGTGTGAACTACAGTTGAGAAAAGGTGTGATTTAAAGTGTGTGGTAGGGCCGGCCGAGTGGCACGTTGGTTAAGAGCTGGCTTGGGACGCCAGAGGGCCCCGGTTTGGATCCCACATATGAGGGCCAGTGACACTGCCCTCTACA